GTGCTTACAATTCGGTACACGACTGTGCAGAAGATAATAAAACGAATAAATATATAGAAGAGGTCAAACCGGTACACAAGTTAATCAAAGGGAGTTGTCACTTCTGGGTAGGAGAGCAAGGGAATGTGTCCTAGTATTGGTAGCATCTAAGGATGTCAGCCAGCAAGAATATGAGGAGAATCCATTTTAGACATGGGAATCTGCATATGTAAATGAATAAAGGTGGGAGCCAAAGATTGGAGAATAGCATACAATCCAATTTAACTGGAATATAGAGTGGTGTAAAATAAGGCTGAAAAAGTGAAGCCAAGTTGTGTAGGATTTTGTGTGCCAGGAACAGCTCTTCATGGGCTAGATTGTTTTTTCTCTGAAAAGGCCATGAAACCCTCCTCAAGACTTAATTGGCCTTGGGGGCAGCTAGGTGGCGCAGTGGATAGAGCACCAGTCCTCGGATTCAGGAGGATCTGAGATCAAATCCAGCCTCAGACTCATGACACTTACTAGCTGTGTGACCTTGGGCAAGTCACTTAACCCATTGCCTAGTCAAAAAAAAAAAAAAGACTTAATTGGTCTTCAGAATCCTTGTAGCTATGTAAGTCAATACCTCTTTCTGAGTAGGTGTGCCTGTTGTGGTCATGGTCAATGTGGTGAGCTGCAGTCACCTGAACCAGTGCTACCTACCTATGGATGTACTTACGTACGTATAGATATCTTGCTAAATATTTCCTTGCACCAATTGCGTTTAAAAAAAAAAACTAAAAAATAAATATTTCCTTGCTATTATTAAGTAAACTTCATCTGTTAAATGTTATGTCGTATGAGAGTGTCTCACTTTGTTCCATTTCCAAGCCTGAACAACCAGAAATGCAGAATCAGGTCTGATGGTGGCTAAAGTAGGAGAAGAGCAGTAAAGAAAAAAGGGAGCACCTGTTATCAGATGCCCGGTTTTGGGAATCTTGTACCCTGTAGCCACTGTGCTTAGAGTGGAAGGTGTCCCCGTGTCTCCCCCCACCCCAATCCAGTGGGATTACAAAGTAAACTACATTCAGCAGCTATAGACTTGTCAATGTGGCTGAGTCTCTGAGAACCACATACTGAAAATGTAAAATGTGTGTTGAATTTACAAATTTACTTTGTATTGGGGATGATTGTGTCTCCAGGCCCATATGCTGTATGACAGGACTAGGTTCTCCCTAAACACTAATTTTGGGTCTTCCTGAGAATTGCATTGAGTATGCTGCTGGGGGCTTTTCATGTAGCATTTAAGAGGCTCTTTTAAGATCTATGAGAAATTAATTTGGTTAAGACTCTTTAGTTCAAAGGGGAGGGCACTTAAAAAGATAATACTTAGTTCTCCGGAGTCCCCCAGAGCACTTTGTAGGATTGGGAATGTGTACTAATGAATTAAATTAGCCCTGGTTGATTTGTTGAGGTCAGCAAATACTTAAGGAGAAAGTGAAAACTAATAATAGGTTAAAATATGAAGTTGACAGCAAGGATCATTAAGTGCCTATTATTTGCCAGGCACTAGAAATAACAAATCCCCAAAATAAACAGCCCTTGCCCTCAAGGAACTTGCATTCTATGCAATTAGGGACATTAGTAACAATGAATTGGTATGATACACAAAGTAAGAACCCAAGAGGATCAGAAAAACTAATAAGTGGTTATTGCTATGTTAAAGTCAAAATATGTGCCATTTGGGGTGGGTTAGTGATCTATAAGAAACACAAGTTAGGGACATAATCATTTACAATTCCATGTTTCGTAGCTATGGCTTGTATGAGTGATTTCTTATGTTCATGCTCATATACATATATGAATATCACTGCTTTTCAGTGGATGTAAAAATAAAACATATACTTGTAAAAATAAAACATATACTTAAAAAAATAAAAGTAATTGTCATTGCAAAATATTTTCTCATTTGAACCTCATAATCCTTTAAGATTAAGTAATAGTAGCTCCCACACAAATAAATATGTACAAAGTGCTTTCTGCACATTATTTCTTTTCATCTTTGAGATCCCCACAATGAGTTAGGCCTTGTGATTTAGAGGCTATTATCCCCAACTTACAGGTGAAGAAGCAGGCCTTAGCCTGTTAAGTGATTTGCACAGTCACAGCTATCATGTCAGAGATGGGATCTGAATCCACCAAGTCCAACTCTATCCACTACGTAGATAATAGAGGTATGTTCATCTCCATTTTATAAATAAGGAGCCAGTCACAGAAAGGCTAAATGACTTGCCCCTACTTATACAAGCTAGTAAGTATCAGTGGTAGGTAGAATTTGTACCCAGATCTTCTGGACTCATCCAACAGTTTACCAAAAGTTTAAAGTATATTAATTTTGTTTTTATTAGGAATGAGCTTTATTTTTGAAAAAATATTGGTTCACATGCTGTTATAATGGGTCCAGTAACGGATTAAAACCACCCTAGCTAAGTCAGAAGAGCTCATCATTAATTTTTTATCATTTCAGTCGTGTCCCACTCTTCATGATGCCTTTTAGGGTTTTCTTGGCAAAGGTGCTGGAGTGGTTTGCCATTTACTTCTCCAGCTCATTTTTACAGATGAAGAAACTGAGGCAAACAAGGTTAAGTGACTTGCCCGGGTCACAGAGCTAGTCACAAATCTGAGGTCAGATCTGAACTTAGGTCTTCCTGACTCTCGGCCTGTTGCTGTATCTACTGTGCCACCTAGCTGCCCACTCATCTTCAATGGTCAGGCTATTTGATGATTGATTCTTCAGACGTAGCAACCCATTAAATCCAGAATGGCTCCTTAGTCCTGTGCCTTAGTCCCTTTTCTGCTTCTGCAGAACAGTATTAAGAATCACATGCTTTTTGACTATCTGTAAACATTAATTTAGATATTCATACCCTAAGTGTGAGATCCTGTTCTAACAAATGTACTTAAACTACTGGAGGAACTTCATTATATCAGTTTTTATATTCTCAAAATGCAAATTAAACCAAAAGACAAAAGCGGCAGGATGGGTCAGGTTTTTCTTGGAGATAAAAGGTGGCAGACAGTTTCATTTTGTATATATAACCAAAAAGAAACATTTGGTAGGATGTTTGGTCATAATATTACAGTGTTCTGATGAGTATTTGCAAGAGTTTTCATTTCTTAATTTGCATTTGTTCTCTGAATTTGAACATGTTTTCATGTCATTTGGTTTGAAAATTTTTTGAAAATTGTTCACATCCTTATCTTTGGAAAAATAGCTCCCTTAGGGCTCAGGTGGTAGGAGCAGCATCTGCCCTCAATCATGCTAGGCTACTTAGTCCCTAAAAGGAAACGGAAACTGTCCTCCAGATTCAATTTTATCACAATGATCTAAAACAATTCCAAAAGACTCATGATGGAAAATGCTATTCACATACAGAGAAAGAACTAGGGAGTCTGAAAGCAGATCAAAGCATTCTATTTTCACTTTTTTGTTGTTTTTTTCTTTCTCATGGTTTTCCCCTTTTGTTCTGATTCTTCCTTCACAGCATGACTAATGTGGAAATATGTTTGATATGGTTTGATATGATTGTACATGTATAACATATATCAGATTGCTTGTCATCTTGGGGGAAGGAGAAAATAATTTGGCACTTGAAATCTTATAAAAGTAAATGTTGAAAACTAAAATTAGTTAATTTTTTTTAAAAAAGATTCAATTATATCAGAGGTTTGAGGTTCAGATTCTTAATGTAGCTTCCTGATTGCATAAGTAAATGCAATACACCAGAAATTGGATCTCTATGCTTGAGACTCTCAACTAACTGCACTGACCGTAGCATACATGAAGATAAGACATTCAGCATTCAGCTGAATCTGTGTTTTATTCTTGATTAACATCTTCTCCCTACTGCCATCATTGGGCAAACATTTTTGTTAAAAGTTATATGGTCTGTGAGTGTCTCATTTTGTTCTGATCCTGGACCATTAGAGGAATCTGTTAGACCTGGCCCAAAACATTTGGCACAGCTAAAAGGAATTGACTTGAATAATATCTTTAAAGTGAGGGAAGAACCTTGCTAGCTGTGTGACCCTGGGCAAGTCATTTAACCTCATTGCCTAGGGGAGAGTTCTAGATGGTGGGCTGGGGAAACACTGGATGGGTGGCAAAAACTCAGTATCAGCCCTGGTACTGGGAAGGTCTGCATGCAGCAGAGTAATAATCTCTTAGTTAACTAACTGCTTGTGATTGACATGTAATGAGAATTGGTAGCTGTGCTCTAAGTGATAACGCTTACTAAGCTCTGGGCTTAATATTCCTGGTACTGCTTCTGCTCATTGTGACCCTTTGGACCATTCAGTAAGGATACAGGCCTGCTTTTATCCAGTGTGAACTTCGAAGATTTGGCATCACACATCACATGCATTAGAATCAAGAGGTTCCCAAAGTGGGCAATACTGGAATGATCCAGAGGGGCAGTGGTAGCCTTGGGTACAGCTGGAGGGCATTGAATAAAAATAAGGGGGTGGTAGAAGCATAAGGAAAAAAGAGAAGAAAATTTTGAAAAATCATTCATGTTTCATCTCAAGTGCAACAGTTAAAGTTGTAATGATTACATTATTTTCCAAATAAACACACAAAATGCAAGTTATAACAGATTAGTGGTCAAGTCCACCAGACAAGTCTTAACAAGCAAGTGCTGGCAGGTGAGTGTGTGTCACATTGTCAGGAAGTCCAGTGTGTCGGCAGGAATATGTGCATGTAATGACTTGTTTATAATATAATATTATTTGGTTACATGATGCAATATTGCATCATCAAAATTTCAATGCAGGAAAAACCCATACATTTACAATGTTATTAAATTTAAGATGCATCATTTTAAAAAATTTTGTATTTTTTAAAATTATGCAAATTAAAAAAAAAAACCTGTTAAAAGGTTAAAGAAAGTAGATTTCCAGGGGGGCACTGAGTAATTTTTTTTTTTTTTGCTTTGCCATCTTGGCTCCGCCCCCCCCCCAATTTTTTTTTTTTAAAGGTAGCAGCAGGCCAAATAAGTTTGGGAACCTCTGCACTAGATTAAGATACAAGACTTGGTCTCTCTGAAGGAGCTAGGTAAGCCTGGGATTTCTGGATTTCATTCTCTGTGGCCACTTGGGTATTCTTTCAAGGGGCTCTATATATTACTTGCTGTCATTTTGAGGTCTTTGTTTTTAGTTTTCTTTTACTTGCACTTAGCTCCTCCAGTGCTCTTTATGCCAAGTTTCTAGAATCCTTGAGGTCAAGATTGTTAGGTAATGGTCCTAAAGTCATTTAAATGGGGGAAGGGGTGGCCCTAAAGCCATTTAAATGCAGGATCCTCCTAAAAGCTACCTTGCCAACAAGGAGTGGGATGGAGTAGTTACAACATCTACCTTACATAAGCTAGCCTAGTTTTTTCCTAAAAGGCAATGGAACTATCCTTAATATTTAATTGGTCCATGGAACTAGGGCTTGAATTATTTAAATGTTTTTTAATTTAATATTTTATTTTTCTCCTAATTACATGTAAAAACAATTTTTAACGTTTTTTTTTAAATTTTGAGTTCCAAATTTTCTTCCTCCCTCCCTTTCCCACCTCCCTGAAATAGCAATCAATTTGATATAGGTTATACGTGTAAAGGATATTTCCACATTAGTCATGTTGTAAAAGAAAACAGACAAAAAAATGAATAAAATGAAGAAAGTGAAAAATAGTGTGCTTCGAACTGCATTCGGACTTAATGAGTTCTTTCTCTGGAGGTGGATAGCATTTTTCATCATGAGTCCGGAATGAATTATTGTATTGCTGAGAATTTATCATTTTCCTTTTCTGTCATATTAGCCAATCTGATAGGTGTGAGGTAGTACTCAGAGTGGTTTTAATTTGCATTTCTTTAATCAATAGTGATTTAGAGGATTTTTTTCATATGACTATAGATGACTTTGATTTCTTCATCTGAAAACTGCATGTTCATATTCTTTGACCATTTGTCAATTGGAGAATGACTTGTATTCTTATAAATTTGATTCAGTTCTCTATATATTCGAAAAATGAGGACTTTATCAGAAATAATTTGCTATAAAAAAAATTTCCCCCCAGCTTTCTGCTTTCCTTCTAATATTAGCTGCATTGGTTTTGTTTGTGCAAAACCCTTTAAATTTAATATGATCAAAATTATCCATTTTATGTCTCACGATACAGTCTCTGTCTTGTTTGGTCATTAATTCTTCCCTTATCCAAAGATCTAACATGTAAACTATTAGGGCTTGAATTCTTGAAATAGATTCTTGGTTATTTAGAGTCTAAGAACCCAGTACATAAGAAGTCAGGAGCACCTCAGGTTTCATACATCTTGCTGACCGCGCACATCACTGTGGTAAATGCATCAGCAGGGGACCTATACCCAAATGAATTACCGTTGTGTCCTTGCTGACTATTTTCCCCATGCTATTGTTAAATTGACTTGTTTTCGTCAAATGTTATTTGGTCTTCAAGTATCTCATTTCTTTGCTATCTGAAGCCTGAGCCCCTGGATTGGCCCTATTCAGTCCTGTCTCAGAATAATTCCGCTCAAAAGCCACTGTCTTTCATGGTCTTTATATAAAGGATTTCCTACAGTTGTTGATCCCCATCTTCCCCCAAATCACTATGTATCTATTTTGTACATATACTGTATTTACTTATGGTTAAACATTGTATCCCTTTAGTAGACCATCAGGTCCTTGAGGGTACAGACTATCTCACTTTTATATCTGCATTTCCAATGTCTAATGCATGCCTATTACACAGTAGGTGCTTAATAAAAGCTTGTTGGATGATTGATCTCATGTATGGCTGTGAGTTATAAGATACCAGAGTCTCCAAAGAATTAAAGTTGAAGGTTACTCAAAGGGGAATGGAGATGCACATTGTGATGATGAGTAGGCTACAATACACTACTGAGCCAGAATTAATTGCACAATAAAAGAAGCATAAAGGATAACAGGAAGTTATGGGGGTTGGGGAGAACAGAAGATGGGTTTTTTATATAGCAATAAAGCAATGAACAGCCCATGTGTTCCACTGGTAGCTACGTAATGCTAAGAGAATTAAAGCACCAGAGTGTTTGGTGGACCTTTTGAAGGACTGAAAGGCATGAATGAGCTACAATCTGTATTATAGGAGAGATGTATTACATTGAACAAATCATAGATCCATTAATAATCAAGTATCAATATGATATCCTACGTTAAATTTTTTTTTTAGATGACATATCCCAACAAACATTAAAACAGACCTCCCCCCACTACCACTATAAATATCTTGCAAAAAAGAAAAAGTTTATTGACCATTAACTGATTGACTGTTGTATTTAACTAGAATTTTGTGGCTTTGATGCCATATAGTTCAGTCACATCCTCCTCTTTATGACCCCATTATGGAGTTTTCTTGGCACAGATACTGGAGTGGTTTGCTATTTCTTTCTCAGTGGATTAAGGCAAAATAGAGGTCAAGTGACTTGCCCAGGGTCACATAGCTAGTAAGTGTCTAAGGCCAGATTTAAACTCGGGTCTAACTGACTCCCAACCCAGTGCTCTATCCACTGAGTCAAATAGCGGCTTCTTGTTGATACTATATCAATTACTTTAGTTATTTTGTATATTATTTCTTCGGCTCTGATTTCTTCTTTACCTTAAAAAGGTAGTAATAAGAGTATTCTTTTTGTTTTCCTGTCCTTTTGTGAACTTAATTTAAAAAAAAAAAATTTAATTTTTATTTTTTTCTCAGTTGCATGTAAATATTTTTTAAACATTTGTTTTTTAAGATTTTGAGTTCCAAATTCTCTCCCTCCCTTCCTCCCCTCCCCCCTCCTTGAGAAGGCAAGCAATTTGATGTAGGTTATCCATGTGCAGTCATGCAAAACATTTGATATTAGCCATGTTGCAAAAGAAAATACAGATCAAAAACCAAAAATAATAAAGTAAAAACAGTATGCTTCAATCTGCATTCAGACTCCATCAGTTCTTTTTCTGGAGGTGGATAGTATTTTTCATCATAACTACTTCGGAATTGTATGAATTTATTTTCTACATATTTATTTTTTAAAATTTGCTTTTATTATTTATATAATTGCCTATATGTAGATCTTTCGGAAGGGAGGAGTTAGCTTTCTTTTTTTTAAATTAATTAATTAATTTTTAGTTTTCAACATTCCCTTCCACAAGATTTTGTGTTCCAAATTTTCTCTCCATTTCTGCCCTCCCCCCACCCCAAAACGGTGCGCATTCTGAATACCCTGGAGAGTTAGCTTTCTTTCCTCCATCATATTGACTTCAGTGCTTCATTTTGGTATGGAAATGGCATTGTGTTCTGGGAAGCTATGCTAGCAGAAAATGTGCTCTTGAAGGTTCTATCACAGTGGGTAGGCTTCAAATATGATCCCCAAAATAGAGTAACTGCTTTCTGAGGCCCAGCCTAAAATACATCGAGAACAATCACCAGTGAGCTAGGTGACAGTGTGTAGAGTGCAGGCCCTGGAGACAGGAGAAACTGAATTCAAATCTATCCTCAGATACTTATTAGCTGTGTGACCCTGGGTAAACCATTTAACCCTGTTTGCCTCAGTTTCCTCATCTATAAAAATGATCTGGAGAAGAAAATGTCAAAAATGCTCCAGGATCTTTGCCAAGAACACCTCAAATGGAGTCACAAAAAGTCAGACATGACTGAAACAACTGAACAACCTAGATAGATATCTTCATGAGTTCAAATCCAGCCTCAGACCCTTACTAGCTGTTTGACTCTGGGTAAGTCACTTAACTCTTGTTTGCCTCATCTGTAAAATGAGCCAAAGAGTCAGGAGTGACTCAACAACAACGAAAGTATTAAAAATAATAATACTTATACCCTTTCCTCCTCATCTTCATGGATAAGTAAACTTCTTAAAAAAAAAAATAACCAGCAAGAGGGCCACACAGAGAATGAATTATTTGGATATGGCAAAAAATGCAAGATGACTCTCAGTCTTGGGCAGCCCCTTTCTGTTTCTGCAAGTGACAGTTACAGAGGAGTAGAAACAGGAACAACAGGTACTACAAACCATGCTTTTTATGCCACCTATAAAATTTAACTTAATCTCGGTACTCTGAACGTGGGATCCTTGTCCGATGACCTAGGAGACACATTGCCAGAATAACTGAATCATGGCAATCTTGAATTTCTTGTTGACAAATGAAACCAGAAGGAAGGCAGCAGGTTCAGCCTACTGGAAAGATAGCTCAGAGGAATCTATGCTTCCTTGGAGAGGCAAAAAGAGGAGTTGATAGAGTGCCTTTTATCATGCTCCCAAAGGCACCAAGAAAAATCATTTAATTGGAAATCTGATCCTCTAGTACTAGACTTATGAATTACAAAAAAAGAAAAAAGAAAGAAAAATTGTTGCAGTTTATTTACCGTTTGTTGTAGAAGATAAAAAGGTGGAGAAGTTCTATGAAGAATTCAATTGAAAAAAAAACACTCTCTAAAGTAAATGAGCACATATTTTAATGGTCAGTAACTTTAGTGCAAAGGTAAGAATAGTGAGTGCAGCAAGAAAATTTGTTGGGGCAGCTAGGTGGCGCAGTGGATAGAGCACCGGCTCTGAAGTCAGGAGGACCTGAGTTCAAATATGGCCTCAGACCAAACACTTGACACTTACTAGCTGTGTGACCTTGGGCAAGTCACTTAACCCCGATTGCCTCACTTAAAAAAAAAAAAGGAAAAAGGCAGTAATAGTGGGAGAAATTTTGGTGATGTAGAAATTGGAGATAACAATAAAATTTATCTTTAAAAATAACAAAATAAAATTGAAAAAAGAACTTTCCAGGAAAAATTGCAATGTAAACCAGAAATGTAAAAAGAATGAATCTCTCTCTTCTCCACAATTAAAAGAAAATGAAAAATGCGTTCAAAAAGAGCTGGAATAACGGCCAGCTCAAAGTACAGAAAAGAAGAAAAAAAATGTTGAGTGTTGGGGGAGGGAAAATCCTATTAGACAAAAAACAAAGCAACACTTAAAACAAGAACAAAAAATGTTAAAACAGTATTTAAATTTTTTTTTTTATTTTTAACAAGT